AAATGAATTTGGTATACATAAAAGATAAAAACTCCAGTGACATAAAGAAGGAAAAGGAGGATAAAGAGGAGAGGGGTAGAAAGAAGGCAGAAGAGTAGTGGGAAAATGGCATGTGGAAGAAAATGGGGATAAAACTCAAACAGAGAAAAGAGAGCTATGGCAGTACAGGAAGCAGTAAAGAAAATCAGCAAATTTACAGTCATGAGAGAACATCTCACTTTCAAACAAAGGAAAGTAACTGTGACTGAACCACAAGGGTTAAATAGTACAACTTTGGAGATTAACTGGGAAATATCTTAATTGTCCTCTGGCATTTGACAGTTTTCTATATGATTCCCAAAATCAAGCAAGTCATTGTTAGAAATACAATATAGAAAGATAATTCTAAATATTATTTGCTATCATTGAGGCTGATCTATGCATCTTTATCTAATAAATAGAGGCCTGATGCATGAAGTTCATGCAAGAGTAGGCCTATCTTCCTCTGGCTGCCAGCACCAGCTTCCCTCTGTGCCAGGAACCCGGGCTTCCCTCACAGCCCTGGCTTTGTTCGGAAGGACATCTGGTCTAATTAACATATTATGCTTTTATTATTATGGATTGGATAGTGTTTTTATTTTTTACATATATCCAAGAATTTTTTATCTAAGAGTACATCGTTATGGCATACAAAATTAAGAACAAAGTGCAAATAGCATGATTCATATATATTTCTCTCATTATCTAAAAAACAAAATACTTATAAATAATGGTTATTTCATTTAATGTTTAAAAGGTTATTGCTTTTATTAGTAGATAAAAAGAAACACATTTAATGCATTCCATTAGATAACTCATTATTCCTCCACTTAGTGCTGTTTTTATTAGATTAGGTATGCTAATTTATACAATTAACCTTATATAATTGGTATAAAGACCTTGTCTAACAGGGCAGTATATTAGTTCATTGATGGAATAAATGAAGACATTTCAAATCTTAAGCAATTTCTTAGAAAACTCATTCTTATTACAATAAGCATTTTTCTTTTGGTTCTCCTTATTTCTCCCTACCAGCATTTAAAGTTATTATTTAAAGGAAATAAATCCTAATGGTATTGTTCAGAATCTCCAAAAGCAATTTAATTTCTGTCTGGTTAGGTGCATAGTTCATATTATTCAAGAAGAGTAAGTAATGGAAAATCATTATTTAAGGTAAAAACTGGTTTATTTCTTTCTTAATTAGAGCTCAAAAAAATTCAATCAAATAAGCTTCCAGGAAAAGAAAGACAATAAGTACAATAGTAAAGCAGAATGTATTTCTGTATTAAAATTAAAGCACCATATGCAATTTTTGTGCTTCATTGCCCAACAGATGCTGATGGGGAGAAAAATAGCTAGAGAAATGCATTAACTGGGTAATAGGTTCTGGAGATACTGGCCTGGTGAAAGACTAACTAGATCAATCAACTCAGCACAATAAAAGTACCATGTTCTAAAATAAAGCCAAGGCAATAAACATGGGCAAACTAAACTATATAATTTACTACTTCAGTCACACATGTGTCAGATCATACCATAGATACTTGAGACTCTACATATGCTGAAAAGAACTCATTATCTCCTTTAAAAACAACAACAAACATATAAACAAACAAAACAGCTATCGTTTCTATTGTACTACATCCTCCCAAGAGAGTTGCTGTTCAGAAATAATTTTAGTCTGGGAACTTTGGAGTCATCATCAAATCTTCCCTCTCGCTTATTCCTTATATTCAGCTATTATGTTATAGTATGCTATGCTGTGCTGTGTTATATATGTTATGTCCTGTTATTTGTGGTATTGTTTCTATTCTACCATATTCTGTTTTAGTCTATTCTATTTCAAAGAAAAGCTTTAAAATGTATCCTCCTATCTCTTCCAACAATAATAGACAAACATGAATTGCAGTAAGCTAGTATTAACCATGTGGAAAAAGGCACCACTTTGAGGGAAGGCAGAACAAGGTAGATGGAATCTTCATTGTGCTGTTGCTGTTAGCTTAGGTAGCTCGGTAAAGGAAGGAAGCAAAGGAAATGAGGCATTGTTGAACCTAATGGGCTGAGGAGCATGAGCCTGTCCCTTGCCCCTCCAAGGATCAATACTCCTCCCTTCCCCACCTCCCAGCCCCTGTTTGTAGGGAGGCACCAGAGGGAGGTAAGTACTTGCACGATGAAAATCAAAATGGCACAGGGGACGGTGCTTGACCATAGGAGCCTGTCAGTCTATCCTGGGAAAGGGATCATTGGCTTGTGGGGTGGTCTTATCAGGAGCTCATGAAAGCTTGGGAAGCTGATTGGTTATTTTAAAAAGCTCCTGCTTCTAACCTCAGGGAAACAAAGAAGAGCTCTTTTTGTTGCATTCGGTGATGCACTGCCTGTTGTGTTGTCTCTCACCTGGGTACTTGTGACCATGCAGGTTTAGCAGTCACTGGGAGCTCACGGCAAATTGCCGGCCTCCAAAATTCTGAGTTTCAAAATGAAACAGAAACTCTGGAAACTGGCCTTTGTTTTGGCCTTAGTGCAGGCAAGGTTGGACCTTTCCCACAGCAGGATGCTGAGATGGAACATTGGAAACCCAGGGGTTCCTTTTGGAATAAATCTTGCCATACCACAATCCCCTGTGTGTGGGTTCATGGATTGCTTTTCTAGCAATTCTACGGAATGACACAATTTACACCAGCAACATTGCTGCTTGTACTGACCCAAGTTCAGCTCTGGACAATTTGGTAATCTTTATAGTTATATGAAAGGGGGAAAAATCAACCTTATTAAGGACACTTTATTTTGAGATTTCTTTGTTTTATCAGATGAGTGATTCCCAAAGTTTATTTTTCCTGCATTCAAGATGTAGTGGTAAATTTTAAAGACTTGAAGCAGAGAAGACTTGCCTTATTTATTGATTTTTTTAATGGTAGTTCTAGGTCTTGGTATGAAATATTTTAGCATTTTTTGATTGTTGCAAAACAAATTATCCAAAAATTAGAATATTACAGCATATACTGTTTATGAGGCAGGAATAGGCAAGTGGTTTACCTGAGTCCTCAGCCTCAGGAACTCTCATGAGACTGGGGTCAAAGTGTCATCTGGAATGTAGCCATATCATTATTTGATATTGATATACTCCAGAATCCTCTCAATATTTGATATTGATAAGACCCAAGATCCATCAGAACTCCATTGGTTGTGGGCAGCATTCAATTTCTTAGGCTCTGGGTAAGGGAACTTCATTTTCTTACTGGCTGGTTGGCAGAGGTTGTCCTCAATTCCTCTCCTAAGGCAGCTTACAACATGGCAGCTGGCTTCATCAATTTGAGCAAGTAAGAGCTAACAAGAGAGAGAATGTGAACAAGACAGAAGTCACAGTGATTTATAACCTAATCTTGGAAGAACATTCCATCACATCGAAGCAGCAATTTTCAGTGTTTTTCATCTCATGACACTCATAAACTAATTATTAAAGTTCTGCAGCACACCAAAAAGATGTATTAAAGTTTTTGCTGATCTGACAAAAAAAATTGAAATAATTTTGATTCATTCACACCGGATAGCTATTGTTGTGTTGGCTGTTGTCATATTTTTTTTTAATTTGATAATCTAAGGAAAAAGAGATCAGTGCCCCTGACTGTCACTTTATTTCCCTTTCTTTATGAACAAACTTCCAGATAAAGCAATACAAATCACTGATGTCCATGTTCTCAACTTTTACTCACTCTTTAATCCACTCCAATCTACTTCTTATTTGTATCAGACCACTGAAAATCCTCTTACCAACAATCTTTGTTTTATTATTGTTGTAAGAGTGCAAGTTTTGGATCTGATCTTTCCTTGCTCTTTCATCAGGACTTACTTCATTTAATCACTGGTTTCTTTTGAATTACTCTTCCTCACACCATCTTGTTTTCCTTCCTAATTTTTTCATGTACCAGGTACTTCTGCTCTGACCTAGTTTATTAAATCTATTGCTTCAGCCTATATTTCACTGGTGAAAGCAAAACAGATAGCCACACCTATCTTCAAGGGAGTGAGAAGGATGTGCTTAAATCATGGAGTATCTATAATACTAATCTGTTAATAATATATCTGTCTCAATAGACTATCAAGTGTAAGTTTGAATTTTGATATTCAAGTGTTTTTAAGAATCTTCAACTTGCCGAAGCCAGTTTGGCTCAGTGGTAGAGTGTCGGTCTGCAGACTGAAAGGTCCCAGGTTCGATTCTGGTCAAGGGTATGTACATTGGTTGTGGCACATCCCCAGTAAGGGGTGTGCAAGAGGCAGCTGGTCAATGTTTCTCTCTCATCGACGTTTCTAGCTCTCTCTCTCCCTTCCTCTCTGTAAAAAATCAATAAAATATATTTTTTAAAAAAAGAATCTTCAACTTGCTCTCTACTTATCAACCTGATCTCACTTGCAGACTGAGTCTAAAATAATTTAATTACTTTTTAGACTATTGAATGCAAATATGACTGGCCCTTTTCATGCCTGACTAAACATATGTTTGAAAATGCATTACCAACAATAAATAAGCTTTCCATGAAAAATATAGCCCCCGATTTCTTATTACCAACTTTGATGCAAAATCTTTTGGCTGCATAGAAAAATTCCAGCATGATTTTCTTTCTTGGATGAGCCTAGAGGTAAACCATCAGGATAACAGATACTTTCTGATGTTATTAGTCACATTACTTCATCCTCTCAGACTCAATATTTTCTCTAAAGACATAGTTCAAAGAAAAGTACATATATATATATATATATATATTTACTTATAAACATATTCATAATGATGTGGGTTGTATGGACAAAACAATTTGAAAGCAAATTAAATGTCCAGAAGCTGAACTATAGCTACATAAATATTCACTTACCAAATTAATGGAATAATTTTTTAGCCATAGAGTGATCATTGTGAATACAGGTGGGACAAAAGTATACTTATAGTTGGGAGTATGAAAAACACAGAATTTCTTGTTCTTTTTTTATTTTTAAATGTGAAATTCTTCATGAATTTGCATGTCTTCCTTGCTCAGGGGTCATTCTAACCTCCTCTGTATTGTTCCCATTTTAACATATATCCTGTGGAACTGAGTACCAGAGTTCATTTTTGTATTCTTATTTGTTAAATATTGTATTATCTTCCATATTAACAACTGTAAACCTAGTTTGCCCTATATATATATAAACATAGGTAATTATTTTTAATATGTTAAGTGAAAGAGCTAAATTAAATAATGCACTCCACTGATTAAAACAGGAAGGTGTATAGAAATTTACCATAACATGAGTGCTATTAATACCTTACAGTTCTGTATAATTTTACATATTAAATTACCAATGTAAATGCTATATTGTGCATTAAGATTAAAAATAGAAACATAATAAATATTAGTTGTTAGGAAGGTTTATATTAGAATAAAGCTGGAGTTCTGTCCATGGTAACTTCTTTCCTGTGACTATGTTTGTTCATGACTAAGACCTCAAAGAGGGCATAAGTAATCAAGGGAATAATTTATAAAGAAGTTACCAAAACAATGAAGGTAAAAAGATAAGATTTTATAGTCAGGAAAAATTAGAGTTTATAATGTTAATATTTTCTGTTTAGAGCCTTCAGATATGGAGATACAGATGGCAAAACGAGGTCAAAAGCAATACCAATATCAAATTTCCCGCATAGGCCTGGCTATTTATTTTATGCTGGTAGTTAATTATTTAATAAACAGAGTGAGAATATGATCCCATAGAGATAAACACACACACACACACACACACACATTCTGTGGAATATGTAGCAACATTTTCCCTGTAGAAGGTGCCTGTATCATTTAGTTATTTAACAAGATAATGCAAACAATTTCTAATTAGTGTTGACAGTTTTGAATAAGTAAATGAAAAGACATGAAGAAGCTAGTAAGGTATCCTGAAGGTAGGTAGCAATTGCATAAAACAACCTGCCACCGTTTGGGCAAATGGGACAAAGAATGTGGTTTGGAACATTAAAATGTATAAGCTCATAGAAAGGGTTTTATACAAACTAGAACCAGAAGCTCTGAAGAGAGAGAGAGGGCCTGGGGATCTGAGCTGGCAGAGAGCCAGACCTCTGAGGCTGAGGGGCCAGAACAATGTGCCTGCGTGTTTGAGGAGGAACAGTGATACTGTGTGACTATCGTTAAAAAGTTGCAAGCTAGATTCAACTGCTGCTATTGGAAGTAACTGCCACTGCTGTGGCGAAGAAGCAAGGTTGCTAAAGGAAAGGAGGCAAATAGAAAATGAGGCCTCCTCCCATCCCCAGCTTCTCAGTCTCTGTCAAGTGTCCATTGTTGTTGGAGCCTGAATAGGAGCACGATGGCAACACAAAAATGCGCTGTGCAGAGTCCCACACCCAGCATGAAGGAACAAACTACTGAGGGATAGGAACATGTTAACTGGTACCACAGGAATTACCAAAAGTCAATGACCAGGGTATAAGTACATGGAGTTGTTAAAGGATTCATTTGAGTATTCAAGTTCCATAAACAAGTGAATTGCTAGTTTCCTCACTTATAATTAAGTATAATATCCATGCAAGAGCAGGCTTTGACAACAGCGACAACTGATAGGATCAATACCTCACAGCTGTGGTGGCTGGCCGATCCCGCGGCTGCAGCCCTGGCTTGTCTGGAAGGTTGACCTGAAGGTCATTGGAAGGATGTTTGGTCTAATTAGCATATTACACTTTTGTTATTATAGATAATTCCCAGAATCCACGTGATTATTTAGTGGTGAGTTTGTTCAAGGAGCTAAATTATCATCTGGATTTACATCAGTTAGCTTGTCACTTTAAAAAAAAATGCTCCAATATGGATGATAAATTATATGGTTACTGAAGATATCCCTTACATATAAATAGACATGTCCAATAGACATTAATTTGTGTTTTACTGGCAACATATGTTAGAAATATTAGTGATAAAATGGATAGGACATGTAGTTATACCAGTAGAGATAGTACAAATTATATGAAAGGACACATTCCTTTTTTAAAAAGATATTCTTATTGATTTCAGAGAAGGGAGAGGAAGAGAGATAGAAACCTCATAATGAGAGATAATTATTGATCAGCTGCCTCCTTCAGGCCCCACACTAGGGATCAAGTCCACAACGTGGGTATGTGCCCTAAGGATTGAAATCTGATCTCTTGGTTCATTGGTCAGTCAATGCTTAACCACTAAACCGTGCAGTCCAGGCTACAAGGAAGCATTCTTAAAGGAGAAAATGGGTGTTAGATGATTAGTGGAAGTTTAGCATTGTCTTGAGGCAAATAAGAACACTTCAGACAGCAGAGACAATATGGGACACATGAAAGATGCATAAAATTCCAACCAAGACATGGAATGAATTTGAAATTTCATGTTAGAACATAAGCAATCAAAATAATTTATTACTGACACTGAATCTACCCAAACATTTCAATTGAGATTCTATACTTTGATGATGTAAGGACATTGTGAATATTATCTCATTTAAAACTGAGAGTAATAAAATCTGGTATTTCTAGGTGTTTTTTGTTTTGTTTTGTGTGTTTTGTGTGTGTGTGTGTGTGTGTGTGTGTGTGTGTGTGTTTGTGTGTTGCTATTATGAATGACCTATAGACATTTATGGACAGATATAGATCTTCATCTCTCTTGGAAAAAGGCCCAGGAGTATAAGTAACTGGTTAAAAAATATATCATTTTCAATGGAGTGTTTTAGGTGTTCTCATTGTAGCATATCCTTATCTTACTATTATTTCAGTACTAGAATCATTGCCATAATACTCAATGGACCAATATGCATGTTTACGAGTGTGTGTGTGTGTGTGTGTGTGTGTGTGTGTAGAAATGTCCCTCATGGAAAAAATTTTTGCCTAAAGAAATTAAAGTTATGAATGAAAAGAAAGAGATAAACTTTCAAAGCATACTTGGACAATCTTTCAGGTTTAAATATTTGGTGAATAGCCACTAATCAGAAATTTGCTATTGAATAAAATTGAGGGAGAGTGGGGAAGAAACTCTAGGCTTTTCATACTGTGGATTCAATATACTATCTTCCCTGTTTGCGAAGGTGTTTACTTTTTTTACACCAGTTTAAATAAGAACAATGATGTTTTAGATACATTGGAGATACCCATCTGGATGTGTTTTCAGGGAGCTACACACTTGGGAACTGAACAATGCTGCACATCACTGAGCTGTAACATCTAATTATTCCTGGTTGGGAAAGGCTTTAATGAATGGTCAGCTTTTAGATAATGGCAAGATATCCATCCATCATTTATTTAGCTGCTAGTGGATGCCTCTATTCATAAGGTATTTGAAAGCAGTATTTCTCTGGAGGACAGGGATTAATATAAAAGTTGAAAAATATAATACCTAGAGAAATGGGCTGGAGGAGAGCTCTAATTCTTGACTTTTGTAGGAAGTAAAATGTGGTAAACTGAGTCCTATGTAACAATCTCATGGACACCAATAAAAGAATCCTATCTAATAAAAGAGAAAGATGCAAATTGACTACAACTCTACTATGCTCACAAGCCATGCCCACCAGCCAATCAGGAGCCAGTATGCAAATTAACCCAACAAATATGGTGGCAGCCATGGAGCTGGAGCCAGCAAGAGGTTTTGGTTTCCCCAGGCGATGGAGGAAGCCAAGCTTCCCTCCCACCCTGGCCTCTATTCAAGGCTATAAAGTTTCAATTATAGAAGATAAATAAATCCCAGATACCAGGGCCTCCACTTGGGTCATGGCCAGCCTGAAAACCACCACAGCCCCCTTTTCCAGGCTGCCCCATGCCCTAAAGAAACCCCCATCCTGATCCAGGACACCCTTTAGGGCAAATCAGCCAGCCTCCACTCATCCACTATTCTATCTAATAAAAGAGTAATTAATATGCAGATTGACCATCACTCCAACACACAAGCTGACTGCCCCCATGTGGTCAGAGATGACTGCCCCCCATGTGGACACAAGATGATCAGCAGGAGAGGGCAGTTGGGGGCAATTAGGCCTGTAGGGGAGGACAGTTAGGGGTGACCAGGCCTTCAGGAGAGGGCAGTTAGGGGCAAACAGGCTGGCAGGTGAGAAGTTAGGCATCATCAGGCTGGCAGGGTAGTGGTTAGGAGGTGATCAGGCTGGCAGGTCAGAAGTGGGTAGAGGCAATCAGGAAGGCAGGCAGGCGAGCAATTGGATGCCAGCAGTCCTGGACTGTGAGAGAGGGGTCTGACTGCCTGTTTAGACCCAACACCTAGAGGGGTCCCAGATTGGAGAGGGTGCAGGCTTGGCTTAGTGACACAAATCCCCGTGCATGAATTTCCTGCACTGGACCTCTAGTACTTATATAATTATTTATACTACCCATATTTTCTGGCATATAAGACGACTTTTGAAATGAAAAAAAGTCAACCGAAAATCGAGGGCAAAAGACCAAAATTGCACAAAAATTACCTGCAGATCTTGACGGCAAAGTAAGTCTTTTCTTTGAAGTGGGGGGTAGTCTTATACAGCGAATATAGGCCTAAACCTATGTTTTAACTGTAAAATTAGGGTGTTGTCTTATATGCCAGAATATATGGTAGTTTCAGTATTCTCTACAGGACATGAAAAAAGTAAAAGCTTTCTGATTTCTGAACATTTCTCCTGTTCATCTGATGTTTTCTTTCAGTTTTATTATTTTGAATCTCTTTTACATAATTGTTTAGTTGAAAGTGATATTTTAAACTTTCTAGACAAATGTTGTGCATGCTATAATTGATTAAATATCTCTCTGTCACTCAGGACAACAAAAATAACCATTTTTTCAGAAATATGAAACTCATTTTAAAAATGTTTATTCTAAAGTTTCCTGAAAGTAAAATCCTTTAGTGGAATAATTAAACAAATACAATGATGAATCATTATCATATCCCTATTTTCTCAATTGTGTTCTTAAGTTATAACTTAATAGGAAATTCTCAATATTATGGTTAATTAGAGAAAGAGAATCTAACTGAGTGTTTTATAGAGTAAAATATATACTTCATTTAACAGACATAGGGATGCAAAAGTAAAAGAGGAAGATTAATTTTCAGACAGAAATAT